TAGTTTCATGATTAGAACAAACATATATGTTTGATAAGTTGTAAATCACAACGTGTTTGTAATAATTGAACTTTCTTCAGTTTGTTTCCTGATACATTTATGTTATGCACGTGAAAGAGAACAAATATTATGTACAATAATTTGATGTTATTTTTAGCTTATTGCAGGAAAAATTTTCCATCTCTTATTATATTTCAAGCAAAATATTGTATACTTACACACGGTATTTTTTATTTGCATTAATGTTAGATTTATCGAGTTAAAACTAAAAGCACTGTCTAGCTTTATGTCTCTTAATTTTGGTAAATATTTGCACTTCGTTTTTTTTCTCCAAATCATTTTTTTCTATTGATTTTGTGTACACTAATTTAGACGTTGTGTATACATCGGTTGATTGATTTTGAATGACTGTTACGAGCTCCAAAATTCTATCAAAACTACTAAAGAAAAACTACACACTTGTTACCTACACCTAGTAGCAGTGTATGCATGCAAAAATTGGTCTACTATGCAAGGGAATTAAGAAAAACTACTATCATTTGAAAGAAAAGTTTTACAAAAAATATATGGTTCCACAAGAAATCTAAATGGAGAATATAAAAAAAAGAAAAAACTAGGATTTAGAAAAGCTTTACGACAAACTAAACATTGGAGAATACTTAAAGGAAAATGTCTGGAGGTGGCTGCCCACGTTTGGCGAGCTGATGAAAGCCTTGTTCGTAATGTATTAGTTAAAAAAATAAACAAAAATAGACTTGCAGTGAAAACCCCATCAACGGTGAACAGATAGAATAGCAAATCACATAAAAGCATGGCATTACGATGAAAATAGTGAAAAATCGGGAAAGATAGAATGATTTGGTGGAAGTGTGCAAAAGGCTTAAATGGCCTGCTTCAATAAAAAAAATAATATGAAAATATTTGTACTCAATACTCGCTATCAATTGAGACGACGTTAGTGTACTATTGTTTGTACGTTAGCACTTTGTTATATTTATATTTTAAACAAAATATGAGTATTTTAACGGATTTTCAATACTTAACTTTTCTTTGTTAACTTTAGGCATTTTCGTTGATTAAAAATCAGGTGTTAGAGCTAAATTGAGACAAACGTTGGAATTAAGTTTTAATTTTTTTATTGTTAATATTTATTATTTTTAATAATGAAAATATAATGGTATGTTATTTGCTTAAATTAATTTTAATGAACAATCAAAAACATTACTTTCTATAGTAAAATTTGAAAATGTATCATGTATTTACCGACTGTTTTGGATGCTCTAGAAAATAATTTGGTAAATTATTAACTCGGTTATATTAGTGGACTAGATGCACGGAGTTAATATTTATTATGTATATCATATAAACATAAAGTAAATACTAATCTGCAACTGGTGAAATATTATATTATTCCGTGTGTACATTAATTATCAAAATGCATCTATGTAGGTGGAAAATATGAAAAAGATTATAATTTCTATTATTTTGTACATTTTCAAAAACATTATTCAGCGATCTTACTAATTTAAGACATTAAATTTCCATCTAAATTAATCTATTCCAAGAAAACACAAGAATAATTTTAAGTAAATCCTTTTTGAACAATATAACCAGAAAAATAGAAGGTTAGGTATATTGCGATGTTAGTTGCTTTAAGCACGAGTTTTTAGGCCTTCCGTAGCGATTAGTGTTTGATAAAACTACGCCTCATCTTTTAAATGTAAATTATTTTTGCTAAGATACAACACGGAAAACGTGATCATGAATAGCAGACTATATAATTTCACAAAACTATGCGTTTTTAAAGATTAAAATGTTTCTTTTGGTATGTTTTAGTATTTTACCAGTTATTATTAATTTTGTTATATGATTTTATTACTACAAAAAAACATAGTGGGTGATTAGATGATAGAAAAAAAACATTTCGAAGAAATTCAATGATTATGGTTTAATTATTTTATTTACCATCAATGTTCTCGTTTTGTCAGCTGATATAATACCTGCACGAAAGTACGAAACTAACGAGAAGATTCGATTATTTTGTTTTTCGCTCGGTGATTACATCTTTAAGGAGTTCCATATAGGCAATATATATATATTTTAAGTTCGTGATACTGCCTACTGGGTAGTAGATACATAATGATGATCATCGGCCAATAGTGTACGTGCAATCACTCAAGCAAGCCGTTGCAGCACTCAAGCAACTGATCTTATAAACAATCGTAAACGTTCATTATTTATTTACACTGTAAATAAAATAAGTGATAACTTTTAAGTGATCGGCTAGACGGTTACATGTGCATTATTGTACTGTGTAAGTATTTTTATAAATTATAGTATCAAAATAAGTGTAATGACTTTTCTTACACATTTTTCGTCTTAATTTGATTGTTAAACAAATTTTTACGTCACAAAATATGAAAATGCGTTTTTTTTTCAATATTATTAATTAATATATTAATAAATAAAAAAATAAATAAAATAATGATTATGTGACAATTGTGTTTTCGGGTGAACAGTCTAAAGCGAATAAAATGTATTTACATGAATTGTTTCATATTTAAGTCTAAAACAACAATTTCTGAAGAACTTGATTGGATTTAAATGTTTGTATGTGTTATCGACACGATTCATGATTCATTCCCAGACTTTTCAGATTTAACTAATAAGTAACAGTCCGGTTTTAACGAGGTCGGTTAGACTAATAATAATCTTACATCTTAAAATGTGAAGTAACTATGTAGTATGTATACAATATTAAAATGTTTTATATTTTATAAGCAGAGTTGCCATATCTATAATTATTATAGCAATGCACAGTTTTACTGTTGTTAGTTAAAAATAAACTCAATTATCCAACTATTTCATAATTTAACTAAAACAAATATCAGTTTATACAATTATACATAATACATGACAAGTTATATTATAAACATTTTTTATAAAAAAAAAAAAAAAAAAAAACAATACAGTTGGTTCTGCTTCGTCTGTAATTGATAATTACATATATTTTAGTTTTCGGAATAATTATGGGTTGATATTGAATCTTTAATCATTAAAATATCTTTGTGAATTCAAAATATTTTTCTGAAATATAAAAAATACATTATTGAAAATCAATTTATTTTTGCATCAAAAATAATAAAATATTTATCAATCTCTTAACAAAATAAATTGTCATCGTCGTGTTCATCAATGAAAATATGATTATCTCAACGGTTAATAGTTTACGTGCCATTCGATTTAGACTCGGTATTATTATATAGTCACTAAATGCCGAACAGTAGTAACGGAAATTTTAAGTTCATATTATTTTCATACAATTCGTATAATAATATTATATTTTTATTATTTATATTATATTATGATTAAATTTAAGAAACATTTCTACATAAGATAAATCATGTACAAACCAACTATGTATACATAAGTTCTTACATAAAAAAATAATACAACGAATACAAATTGTCTTCCAACTTTATTCAGTATTAGAATTGACAACTTAAATATATAGTTGATGTGATTAAAACGACTTGTTTGTTTTTTTACATAAAAAAATTCTTTTTCAATTTTTATCGAATCTAGACCATATATTATACATAATGTAAATATAGCACATATATTATCATAAGTATATACCTATATAAAATAATAATAATAATTTAACATACTTTTTGGTGTATTTTTGTTCGTGTAAAAACTTACACGTGTAACCTCTTACCTAATATGTTTCGTGTGGGAATTTACCAAAACCCAATTATGTTAGGTGGTAAAAGCTAGAGCAAGGTTATATCCCAACTCATATTATTGAAATAAAGTAAAGTTATGCTATCAGATATTTCCATCGCCTTATAATACACTGGGTGATTTACCAAACATGGTCGCATAGGAACATGCTCATTCCTCGCCTCATTTTTCATGAATAACTTAATTGATTCAAATTCTGATTTTTTGATACCTATTTGAGTGTACTCAAGGTTAATATTTTTAAATAAAATTTAAATTTTTTTCACCATTCAAGAAATGTCATGTAGTGGTACAAACTTTTTTGTTTGTGCAAAGCATCACTATTTTTACTGTAAATTGTTAAGCAGAAGATAGTGTTGAAGAATATATCGATGCATTATATTACTCGAAATTCAAACTAATTAGTTCCGAGTTATAAACCGTTAAAATAAACCAACCAAAAATTTAGTATATTCCGTGTTATGATAATACCACGATGACTTGAAATTACATTAATTTACCAATATTTTACAACTTATAAAAACAGTCAAAGTATAACGAATAGTCAGACTAAATATGACATATCATAGTTTATGTTAAACTATTAATCATAGTATTTAAAGATTAAAACTTCAAGTATTATTGTTAGATTTGTGTATCAAAAAAAAAAAAAAAAAAAATCATCTCCGTTTAACAATACGTTTACAGTGAAAAATACAGGTTTACGTTTGAAAACTGACGTTTGCACTATCATAGTATTATTCTTAAAATCACGGTAAGTCGAATACCCAAGTACTAGAAACATTATAGTCGTTATAAAATGTGGCCTAAAAATATTAAAATATTCTTTCAGGACTTCCAAAAACCAGAATTTGTAGAACATAAACATTTTTCGTTGCCAAACAACATAAAACGGTGTCGAGCGTGTTCGAGAACTACCCCGTTTGTACTCGGCAAGCTATGGCAGTATGACTTACTGCACAGTACGTCGTACAGCCCGCAGTGGCGATGATAATAATAATAATAATACTCGTAATATTGCACCCCACCCTGCCGCGCGAGCCGATTCTCTTCGGACGTTGGCTCGCGCCCCGCAGTGGCAACTACGACGACGAACACGACGGGAGCGGGGGTGCACACGTTCAGGTGCGGTGGAAAACGGGGGAGGTTGAGGGGAAGGGCGCTAAGAGGGGCGGCGGCGGCCATGGCGGCGTATTGCTGGCGCCGACTGCCACCGACCGTCTGCCGGCGGCGGCACGTTTGGGCCACACGGTCGCCGCCGACGTTGACGACGCGCCGAGACGGTTCTCTGTTGTTGCGTTGTACTCACGCCGTACACTCTGTTGCTTAGTGTACGGGACGACGACGGCGGCGACGGCCGACGCGAACGGGGCACGACACGCTATTAATGATGATGGTTTATCAGTTCGTCGTGGTCCGCTACTACGCCGCGACCGTATCGGCGGTCGCCACCGGGTGATTGCCGGGCGACGTCGGGCAGGAGGAGACGCAGCAGCAGTGGATATCCAGATCTGTGCGTGCACTGGCACACGTCGCGTAGGAAGCGCCGGAAGTCCGGTATCCCGTCGTCTCTGGCTACCGCAGCGACACGAGAAACGCGCGAGATCTCTCCTCGCGGTCGCCACCCGCAGATTACAGGTAGGCGCGATTATTCGCAACATATAGAAGACGTAAGACGACTTACCGACAATTATTGCTGCTAACGGTATTGTCACACAACACGGATTTCCGCCGTGACACGTACAGGTACCTAGTATTATTACAGTGTGTGCTTAACTCATCTCACTTGTAGGTATCGTTTGAGAACCGATTGATTTCGAGACGACGGTTTCAACGATTATCTTGTTTCGGGCGACACTACGGATGTTTTGTCGCATATTATTTCGGATTCGTTGCGTTATTTATTCGGTTATAATTGTGTTTTTTTTTTTTTTTTTTATCACGCTTAGATTATTATTTCTAAGGGGAAAGGGACAATATCAATCTCGCCATCATTTATTATAACTGATACTTCACTTTATAACAAATTAAATATTTCAAAATAAAATCTTTTTTTTTTACCATCATCTGGTTGTAAATAATTCTGTACTTACTAGAACTATTTGCTATGAAACGCTAAATAATCATATGTTTTGCTAAAATCCATATTATTATTGTCTATTTTAAAACACCAACTATTAATTATTTTAATTTTTTTTAAATTTTCACTTAAATAATAAATAATTATTAAAACTATTTAAGGGATCGTATAAGCATGTAAATATTTTCAAGAGCATATCATTACAGCTTATTATTACAAACGTTTTGTCACATGAACCTTAGCTGGGTATATGATTAACTCGACACAATTGAGAAAATTATTAGGAAAAACCTCGTATAGGTACGTGTTTCGTTGTGGATATATGATGAAACTCGAAAGAGATCGAAGATTTGAGACTGCTTTGTGAAATAATATTTCCAAAGACTAAATTAAAATCACACGTAAAATTTATTTCCACGTATCGGCATTTTTTACACAACTTAGCTGCTAAAATGAATATTTATATTTATATAATATATAGTCAGTCTTCATTCTATTCTCAACTATTTTCTCGGTACACTCATGGTTATCAAAACTGTCAACAATATATTTGAGATAGGCGCGTTTTCCACTTCGTTGACAAAAAAACCATATATTTTCGGTTTTCTGTGGTCTTTTCAAGAAACCATCATTTGTAGCATAGGTAGGTAAAAGTAATATAAAACGACCCATACTGGGCGACCAATGGCACAGCCGAAATACGTGATACGAAAGCCAAATTTCGCCCCTAATAAACACTTTTTTTCTCATCCCGTTTGCATGTATAAATATTTATTTTCTTCTATTGTTATCCTAAATTATTCAAATTTGAAATTTTGGTCATGTTCTCGACAAATACCGATTCTGTACACATATCTCGCGCTTGGAATATAATATATTTTTATTTTAATCTCGAAACATCATGCGCCTACTTTTACAAATAATTTTCTAAATTATAAATATTTTTCCATTATTGCAATAATTCATAGTTATTATAAAAATGTTCAATTTACCATATCTGCTATCAAATTACTGTGCAACATTAACACAATTTACTACGTACTTATAACATATATTACACGACATAAAAATCGGTTTTTAATACTTTGTTATATGAATAATATTTTTAATTTAAACATTTTAATTCTATCGAATACTTATTCTATTTAATATACAAAGGCGTTTTTAGCTTAGTGTTTGTTTTTATTATCATTATTATCGGAAATAATATATATACTTATTGAAATGTATTATTGATTTTCGTTTAATATTTATTTATAAGTTTCTAAAGTATAACATTATACACTACAAAATATCGACGATAGTGGTTTTGAAAGTAATGAAGCGAATATTATACTTGAATGAATTTAGATGTAGGTATTAGATAAAAATATGCACTATAATTCGAATTACTTTTAAAATAATATCCTGTCAACTATTATTATCGACAATATTTGTTTTAGTATTTTTATTTCCAATTGTCGATAATTGTTTATAAACTACTATTAAAAATAAACGCTCTCGCAGATAATTATAGTTTCAAGTACAAAGCTACAATGAATAATCAGTTTTTTTTTTTAAATATATATATACATATTTTTTTTTTCATAAAGGTCCATAGACATTTTTAAATAATTTAATCAGTTTTGTATAACAACCGAACAAATGTGCTCAATAATACTCGTATACGCATACACACAAAAAATATCACAATAATTTAGTATTTGAAGTATGAATAGTTATACGTTTATTACGTTAACAGAAGATATTTATTCTATGGAATATAATGCTTTTTAATGGTAGTGTGTTAAGATATAATAAAGTAGAGTACTATAAATTATATCGTATTTAACATAAAAATTCTAGTACAATGAACAAAAAAAAAAAAAATCAATGCAATATAAATTATTATTTCTCCACGTTATTCAAGCATTAAATTAAAACATCCTAATATTATAATAATATTTATTTTCTAAAATACTTAATACATGGAAAATAAATTAAATCATAATCGTGTGATTGCATTACACAAAAATTATAAAATAGTTGTGATAAATATGGCCTACTTTAACTTTTAATGTTTATTTTTTTCAAATATTGATAATATATATAATTATATAAATACATTATATTATTATAAAACATGTGTATTATCAAAAATTAAATTTATATCATACCATTGTTTCCATAGATAAATTTAATCTTCCCAAATATATTATTACATATCAATTAATACAATATCTATATGTATATTACAATAATTAGTATCTTAAAGTAGTATTTTTATATGTTTTAATTTTATTTTGATCTTTTTAAAATAACTGATTAAATTATAAAATTTTTATTTTACTTTCAGTTATTATGGAGTTAAGTGCTAAAAATGTTTCTAAATTTGTATTAACATTATATTACGTAAATAATCGTAAATATTTTGTACAAAAGTTTTTGTTTTTGCTACCTGTGAAAGTTCAAGGATGAACATAAAGTACTGATATTAGATATTATTATACTACATTGGCTTTAGTACGTTTTTTTTAAACCTAGTTAATACATTACCAACTTAATATTATTTAAGCATTACATTTTTTTTTTTTAAATTATTATAATTTTAGTATAGTTTTCAGTTGAAAATGTTTAAGGAAAAGAGAAGTACTATATATGTATAATTCAAAAGTAGTATTTCGTAAATCAGATATCAACGTAATGTTGGTATTTAATATACATTTTGAATTATTGTTAAAAATAATTTTATAAACCATTATACTTATCATTATTTATTATGTTATGACATTTATCATTTTCTTATGTTACTTGTCAAAGTATAATATCTTGATGATATTTATGTACTAAAAAATTCAATTTAGGTTTTTAGGTTACAAAATTTAGAATATTTATTTAGACATTTAATGATATAGTCTGTTGTAGTATCATGTACCTACTCGCAATTCATGTGCAATGTGCATGTCTAGTGCAGTTTTTATAACGCGGAAGTCAGGATATCATAAACATGTTATTAAATAAAATTAAATGTATAAACACGAGTGAATATTCTGTATAAAAAAATACTTTGTATTTTAAAAATCATATTGTTTATTTTTAGAAATCCTAGTTTTCTAATTAAAAAATGTAGGCTCCTGTTATTAATCTAATGTGTAATTGTATTATAAGTTATAAAAAATTGTAATAAACTTTTTTTTTACTTACATACGTTTTAAAATTACAGATGCCCTTGATGCATCTAGATGTGGTTTCAAGAGAGTTAAGCCTCATTTCAATAACAGTAATATCAATATTTGGTAATATTTAGATTTAGATTTTTTTTAATAAATCCGTAGCAATATTTTTAAATTTGATTCAAGTCTCTATTTATAGTATCTATTAAAATATTATAACGAATAATAACCATAAGCCTATAATATATAAAATATGGACGACTAATAGTAACTTCTTCTATTACAATATATTATATTAAGTGGCTTTTTACCACTTAAAATTAAATGTATCACATCTGAATGAAAAATTGTTGTATCCAATAAGTTTCTGATTTTCTAAACATTTTTACATTCGCATTCAACGTATTCTCTCTATCTTATTATTTAACATTTTCACAGTTTCTTCTTAGTCTGTCTAACTCCCATTTACAGATGGTTTAAAGTTCTCCAAACAGTCAATTTATTATCGTATCCAAACGGAAAATCCTTTGTGACGTATTGTAAGCTTTCATTATTCTATAATATTATTCTTGCTTCCTTAATGATCTTCTTTAATTCATTAGTTTACAATTTAGGATACTGTTTCTTAACTGTAGTCGAACATTTTTATTGATGGACCATCATTGGATACTTTTTGGCTAAAATCTGCTACAATTGTCCAATTTCAACAGTGATTTATCTATGTAGTGAACTTATCTATCGATGTTTGTTGTAAGCATTCTATAATTATTATACTTGTAGTTTCATTTAGCTCGATAAAAATTTGTTTTGTGCGTACTTATTTACCCTAAACCGAACATACATACCTATTAGATTACCGAGAAGCAAATTGATAATTCTAAAATTCTAATTATTTGGAATGAATACAGGTGAGCTTACTAATTTATTTAATAAAGTATTTCTAGTACATAATTTTAGTTTTACAAAGAAAAAAGAAAAAACTGTGCTCTTTGAAGATGAATGGTTTATCAAAATCCCGATGCTAGATGACTGATATTTATTTTAATGTAAGTTCTTCCCATATAATTTCCCGCTTTTTAGTCACTTGTCAATTTCTTTGATAGGATAACACTCATAGATGGACTTTTCATAAATTTTTACATTCCATATAGGATAATAATGAAATAAATTGTATTACCTAATACATATATTTATTTTTTGATAATCGTCCAATTTATTTATAAATATTAATAGTTTTATTAGAATTTATATCAATTATTTGAATATATTATTATATTTAAAAGCATAAAATTATGATTAAGAAATGATCATTAAATTTTATTGTTAATTAATGTTTTAATTTGAAAAACGTATACACATTACACATACTTCACTGATTCGATATATATTAATAATTACATTTTAGA